CCCTAGGTCCCCCAAGCCTATTCAGTTGCTCAAAGGATGGTGACTGTGGCTTTTATCCTAGCCACATCCTGCATTCTTCCACCGTGGTCTCTCCTATGTAAGCCCTTCCTTCACCCCATCCTTCCAATGGCTCTCAAGACAGAGTCCCAGCCTCAGTTTCCCTCCAGGGGTCAGGAGTTGCACTTCATACTCTTTTTCAATATTAGCTTTTGCTATCTGCAAAAGTGGCACCAGAAAGAATTAATTATTCATGACCCAATATCCAGTGACAATCGCTGCCAATTCTGGTGCCTTCCCTGAGTCTCCTCTGCTCATGCACAAGCATGAACAGGTTTTAATTAAGACGCAACCGCACAGTCTATTCTCCTGTGTGTCCCCTCAACCAACAGTTTGTTGTGCTCACCTGTTTCTGTTCTTAAACACGTTTCCTGCATTTTTAAGGGCTGCATAGCAGTCTATGGCAAGGTGCTCCCCGCACATTGTAATCAATTTTGTTTTGTGAAGCATCTAAGTTGACTCTGGCTTTTGGCCATCATGAAATTCAGAGAGCTACATGCTTAGGACGATAAATGGCTTGCTCCTGGTGTTAAATTTAAAGAAAGCAATTGTGGGTTAAGGGAGTTGTGCTTTTTAATGCGCTTAATGAATTTTTACCAACTGCTTTCTAAAAAGTCTTGACTTAATTCCATTTCCGAAAGACATGTGCAAAAGTACTTCCCCCTCTCCTCCTTCCCACCACTCCCTTCCCCGGACCCTTCTAATCTTGCAGGCATAGAGACTGATCATTTTGAGAGATGAGAAGAGGTTTTGTTCTATTTTAAATTTATCTGATCTTCAGTGGAGCCAAACGTTTATGCTGTGCGTTAATTTGCCGCTGGTCTTTATTTGCACATGACCAGATGAGAGACTTCTTCATTCCCATTAAGCTGGGGTGTGAAGCTACCGGTTTGTCAGCGCTGGCTCCATGAGCACACATTAACCTCTCCTCGACACGTATGTTAGGGTGTGCCGTTGAGTCTTGTTGAAGGTGTTTATTGACTGGAACTGCCTCCGTAGCCGCTCGCTCGCTCGCTCGACATCTTTTCTTAGGTGGCTCGATGGCGTTGCAAACTCCACATATCCAAATTAAGATTCTTTATTTCTCACTCCCCAGTCTGCTCTTCCCGCTGACTTGCTTATTTCTGTTAATGTCACCACTATTTTCCTACCCATCCAGGCTTGAAATGTAGACAGCATCTCGTCGCATCCAGCTTCTCCCTCTTCCCCCATCTTCTGCCAGGTGCCAATCGCTATAGGTTCTGTTTCTGTGCTGTGCTGGCAGGCAGTCCCTCCAGCACCCCAGGGGCTCAGATGCTCATTATTTCCTGCCTGGACTTTGGAAATGGTCTCTTAAATTCCTCCACGGACACCCCTCACTTCATTGCTCCTTCCCGTACTCTACACTCACATCCAATTTCCAAAATCAGTGTTCAAACCCAGGGCCCTGCGAACACAGGGCACACCTCTCTATTGCCTGCTGTATTTCATTCCAGCCTCTTAGCCTGCTCATGACCTTCTCTCAGCATGCTCTCCTCCATCAAGTTCACCACCTTCCCACCCCCTATCCTTTCTGCTCAAACCACCCCTTCCTCTTAGAATTCCCTCCTGTCTCCTGTACTTTTCAAAACCCATTGACAACGCTCCCTGCTCATGGCACGGCCAACTCGGCTAGGATTTCTTGACTCCCAGTTGAAGGCAATTCAGCTCTTTGTGTTTGAACCTCTTTTGTAGACTGTGCTTTATTGCAGCTTCTGGTGGGGTTGCTAAAGGTCTCTGAGTCTAGAAAGCAGAGTCTCTGAGGGACTCCTCCCCCCAGGACTGTTTCTTCTACACAGTGCCTCGCAGCAGCGGGTGTTCAGTAGCTATCTCTAGAATTCAAAGCAACTCTCGTGTAGCTTAATGCTTGTGAATTCAAGGCCACTGTGAGAAGAGCGTGCTTGTAGTCCAGGAGCAGTATCCAAGTCTACTTTGCAGAAGGCTGAACTGGGCTGATGGGTGGCCTTTGGGACAAAGCATCAGCCATGATTATTCCTTTGTCCCCATGACTTGTGGCTATTTATTCAATGCCCTTCTCTTGTCCTTGGTCAAGTCATGTCATGCAAAGTATGACACATGGAACTTACTTCAGAAGTTGACTGTTGAGGATAAAAAGACAGGGAAACAAGTCCTTGGGCTGAGAGTTGAATGACAGCTGAAGGGTGCTGGGAGCCCCATGACCTTGACACACAAGTGCCTGCACCAGTTAAGAGTTTTTCTCTCATTAATGTATTTAAATGGAGTCAATACTGGGGTCAACTGTGTGCACAGCCGTCTTCAGCTCTGGAGGTGACTCTGCAGCCTGCACGGGAGTGTGCAATTGACACAGTCTATTTTTAGCTTCCCGGAGACCGTGACCAACATCCCAAGCAGAGGGTGGGTACACCTGCAGCATTATGATGAGGCAGCCCCACTTGCCAGCCAGCCTGGCCTCTCCTCGACCCAAAGGCCTGTGTTGTTAAACTGGGAAGTCTGCAGTTTCCTAGAGGCGGCAGCCTGGATGCACCACGAGAACAGGGCATCACCTCTTACTCCATGCAGCTCATTCCCGTCTAGTCTCAGACACAGAGTGGTCTTGGGGCTACGCCTTAGGTAGGATGAAGGGATGGCATCACTTGTATCTCTCCATCTGCTCTGTCCCTGGGGCTACCTTTCCCTTGAGTAAGTCTGAGTTGACCCAGCTCATAAGGGGGCAAATTAAGACAGGACAAGGAATGTGTGTGTGTGTGTGTGTGTGTGTGTGTGTGTGTGTGTGTGGGTGTGTGTGTGTGTGTGTGTGTGGGTGTGTGTGTGTGTGTGTGTGTGGGTGTGTGTGTGTGTGTGTGTGTGGGTGTGTGTGTGTGTGTGTGTGTGGGTGTGTGTGTGTGTGTGTGTGTGGGTGTGTGTGTGTGTGTGTGTGTGGGTGTGTGTGTGTGTGTGTGTGTGGGTGTGTGTGTGTGTGTGTGTGTGGGTGTGTGTGTGTGTGTGTGTGTGGGTGTGTGTGTGTGTGTGTGTGTGGGTGTGTGTGTGTGTGTGTGTGTGGGTGTGTGTGTGTGTGTGTGTGTGGGTGTGTGTGTGTGTGTGTGTGTGGGTGTGTGTGTGTGTGTGTGTGTGGGTGTGTGTGTGTGTGTGTGTGTGTGTGTGTGTGTGTGCATTTTATGTACTATATATGTGTGCATATACATTTGGAGCCCAGAGGTCAACCTTGTATCATTCTTCAGGAGCCATCTACCTTGTTTTGTTGGGGCAGAGTTTCTCACTGGGTGCTGCGATTCACCCATTAGGCTACATTGTCTGGCCAGTGAGCCCAGGATCCTCCTCTCTCTACCTCCCCAGTGCTAGGATTATGCCTGGGTTTTTACACAGGTGCTGGGGACTGGACCCATGATTCCCTGATAGCCTTTTATGCACTGAGCTATGTCAGCAGCTCCCTGGAAGGTTTCATCAGGCCCTGTATTTATTGAGGAGGGAACAGAGATGTAGTGGTGGTATACAAAATTCCAAGGTCACACAGCCAGGAGTCAGGATGGAATCCTGGAGCCCTGATTTCCAGCTGAAGAACACCAGCCGTTGGAGAAACCCACTTGGCTCTTGATCTTGGTATTTTTAAAGATGTGTGTCATCCTTTGATGCCTTTTCTGTGCCTGGAATCTGGGTGTACACATTGTAGTGACAGGCGTTCCTCTGGCATTGCTATGATTCATCTAGGTGACCTCTGACCTCCACACCCTTCCCCTTAGCTTGAGGGATGAAAGTCAAGTAGATGCAATGGGAGCATAGAGCTGGGCTAGCAGGATGGAGAGCCAGAGAAGCAGTAGTAGGCACTGCTCAGGGAAGAGGCCAGCCAATATGAGGACTTGCAGTGTTGAAGTTTGAGGGAAGATGGGAGTCAGAGCCTAGGGGCTGAGACAACAGCCCTGACACAGTAGAGCCCAGGAGACCCATGTTTGAGGGCAGCAAGTCTGACTATAGCTCGGTGTTGCATGGTCGGTGGGAGAAACACATGCATGGGCTTCATTTCCTAGGCCCAGCCTTGTCTGTGATATTTGATTTGCCTTTGTGAACACTTACTGCATGTCAATCCTCTTTCTAGGTACCTCAAAAAATACTAATTTGTCTAACTTTCAGTGCAATCTTACAAGTACAGATATCTGATTTTCATTTTAGAAGTGGGGAACTAAGTAAGGCACGAAGTGCAGTGGCTAATAACTTTGCCTGACACTGTATAACTAATGTAGTGGTCATCTCTCCACTACTGTAACGAAATACCCAAGCCTGGGAAATTTATAAAGAAAAAAATTCTTTAGCTTATAGTTCTGAAGTTTTAAGACACCATGGTGTTATCTTCTGCCCTGTGAGCCTCATGATAGCTGGAAAATGACAGAGAGAGAGAGAGAGAGAGAGAGAGAGAGAGAGAGAGAGAAGAGAGAGAGAGAGAGGAGAATCTTGCTCTTCATAAAGATCCTCTCTTGAGAACTAATCAAATCCCCATGAGACTATGAGGTTAATTACTCTCATGAGCATGTTCCCAATGACACAGCCACTCTACCCCTTAAAGATTGCCCCATCTCTGCCTCACCATGATACAGAGTAAACCTTAAGGATGTGAGCCCTTCATGGATAAACCCTATCAAAACCATGGCTGCTCAAGAGCAAACTCTTTGCTTCCCACCTTCCCCACACATCCTTTCCTTTGTTGAGTGTTTCTTCCTGGTCCCACTAAAGGAAGATATTGTTTCCACATTTAACAGATAGGAAAACCGAGGCTTGTAGCAGTTTAGATCACCCAGTTTGTAAGATCTGGAACTGAGGTCGATTGGGGTCTATTTGGTGCATCAGTAGTCTGCTGTCAATCATATGGTCAAGAAGCCTTTGCCAATTAGTGCTGAGGAGACGATCGGAAATCTCTAAGGCAGGACTAACTTGGGTCCCTTCTCTTCCTTTAGGTGAGCAGTGCCCCCCCTCAGCCTCCTCAGCCTGTCGTCCCAGCCAAGCCTGTGCAATGCGTCCACCATGTGTCCACACAGCCCAGCTGCCCAGGACGGGGCAAGATGTCCAAGCTGCTGAATCCTGAAGAGATGACATCAAGGGATTACTATTTTGACTCGTATGCTCACTTTGGGATTCACGAGGTAACATACCCATCTTGGGGACTAGTTGGACATGTGTGGCCCTGTCATTTCTTTCTTGTTTTCAGAGGTGACAAAGCACCTATGTCTAATTCTCTACCACACCAAAGTGAATCCCTCTGGTGCCCTGAACCCTGACTCTCTCTCCATCCTGTGGTTCCCTTTGGGACAGTAATGGATGGCCAAGGCAGGGCCTGGAGCAGGTAGAAGTGGGTGTTTGTGTATCCCCACATTTGAGAGCCTGAGGGGAGGTCAGAGGACTGTTGAGGATTTGAGACGAGCCTGGGCTACGTAGTGGGTTCCTGGTCAGACTGAATTACAAAGTGAACTGCTATTCAAAACAAATGAATGGCAACAAATTGGGGGTGGGGCCACCCAAGGGTGCTTTGAGCTTATGTTTTTACCTTTCAGCCCTGTGTATCTCTAACCACTAGCCCCAGACATCCTGGCCAATGCACTGAGGCCGCTGTTGCCTTTTGGGGGTCATGATCCCTATTAATTTGTCCAAGGAGCATCTCCCGAGGAAGAGCGGAGGGTGAGATCATATAGACAGGCCCCCTCTGACACTCTGATTCCATCTTCGCAAGTTCTCAACAGAGAAGCCTTGCATCAGCCCCTAAACAGAAGCAAACGTCATGGCTATTGTGGGTGCAGAATCAAGCCCCATGCCACACCTCATTATATAATTCCCAACACTGTCCCAAACTGCCCCCAAAGCAGCTGGCATTGGCCGCCACTTGCCAAGTAATGGACACATCTCTACTCGAGTGGTCTCTGTCATTATCACTTGATCCTAATAAGAACCCTGTGAGGATGACATCCCCACCATCCCTAAGCAAAGGGAAGAGAGTCCTGGGGAAAGAGGGAGTGGTCACTGGATGCAGCTCCCTGGCTGTGAGGATGTCTTTCAAACCAGCTCATGTGGCTCCCTGGCGATGAGATGATGCCGGAAGGTCTGCTTCCATCCAAATTGCCAGGCTGCTGCCAGGGAGGTTTTTAATATCGGTAGTCAGCGGTTTTTAGTTGTGAAATGCTTATTGTGTACTGGGTGTTGTTCCAAGCATTCTGGATTATTGGCTCATTTGCTTCTCAGAGTAACCTTCTGTTATGCCTGCTATTGTGTTCACAGGTGATCCGGGGCCTTAACAGTCCTCCTAGCCCTCATCCTAGCTGTTGTTTTGCATAAGATGAGTGAAGACAGCTAGAAATTCAACCTTCCCATTTGTGCACGTGGATTGCATTCCTAATTGCCCTGTCACACACCTTTAAAAAATGTTTCCTTCCTGCCTGCTCCCTGACCCCCACAGAAATCATCTTTCAGGTTGAGTGGACTCACTTGCTTCGCTTGCATCCTAGGCGACCGCTGTGAAGGCAGAAGGTGAAGGCGAGGAGAGCTCTCAGTCCCCCCTACCCCCCACGCTGTACAAAGACTTTTTCCTACCTCTTGTGATCTAGCAGCAGGGATCCCCTCATCACTAGAGAGCTCACAAGGATGCTCTGCCTGGGTGTTCTAGGCAGGACCTCAGATCCCCAGAGGGGGCAAGCTGGCTGTGCCTTGGTCCCTGGCCATCAATAGGTTACTGAAACAATGGTGGCCAGAGAGCGTGGGTGAGTCACAGTGTGGGTGTATGGACAGAGCGTGGTTGTTCTATAAACGAAGACAACATGGGTGGGAGGAGGAGGGCTAAGCAAAAGATGATTCAGGGCCTTCTGTTCTTTCCATTCACGCTTCGCTTACAGACAACTCAAGAGGGCAGGGTCAGGAAAAGGTGACCATGACCTTCCAGGGGAACCCACCTTCAAAAGAGAGGGAGATGTCCAGGTCCCCAAGCACCAGCCTGAATCTCAACATCTGTCTGCCGGTCAGAGGTGGGCCTGGGACATCAGCCTGGAAGAGGGTCCCTGCCAGTGTGGTTTGACAGCTGGCCAGCACTTGTAGGCTGAGTACCTTCTACAAGTTCTGCTGTGTACATTGCTGGGGAATCTGGCTTTCCCTTGTTAGCCTAGCGCCGGCACTTACGTGAAACTTTCTGTATTTGCTTAATCATCACATCAGCCCTAGAAGTAGGTGCTATTATGGCATTATTTCACAGACCAGGAAGCTGAGGCACCAGACACTCGATGATGGGCTGGGCCAGGGAGCTTAGCAACAGTGGAGATGTGTGTGGGTGCAGTGGAGGAGGCTCCCTCGGCTGTGTTCAATGGTCATGTGCTCTATATTACTGTCTTCTGATTTATCAAGCTTGTCTAGCATGCCCCATGTTCTGGGGATAGGGCCTTGTACACTTGTGGCACTGGGACCTAGGGATCTCCTGAAGAGAGAGGCTTCACTCATCCTCAGAGTAAAAGCCAGACAGGAGCTCAGTCCAAGCACCTCCTTCCCCAGACACACACCTTATTAACATTGAAGCCACTAGCCCTGGGGCAGCAAAGGAAGTAGAATCTGGCCTTCAGAGCGGTTCTCCATTCCTTTTGGCTTTCCGTGTCTCAAGAGAATCATCTCTTTGATCTACTATAACTAGAAACATAAAAGAAAGAATTCTAGGAGATGCTGTACAGCCTGGTCGAGAGGGTACATTACCACAGTACCTGTGCACAGAGTTCTGAAGCATGGACGGAGACCAGCAAGTCTAAATAGACACAAGGACAAATGGCTAGTTGTAGTCTTCTCTCTTTGGTAACGGGGAACACAAATATACTTAAAAACAAGTGTGGATATGGGTACTTTGCAGTCCACAAACAATCTGGCCTAATCTGTCACCTAGGGAGTATTGCATCCCAAACTGCAGAGATGCAAGCTTTTCAAGCCCTGTGGCGGTAGTCACTGAGTTAGATCCTGTGCAGGGTTCGTTAGCTTTCTGATACTGGGACAAAATGCTGGAGACAATCAACTTGGAGAAGGAAAGTTCTATCTGAGCTCAAATTTAGAGGTTCTAATCACAGATTAGTGAGTGGCCAAAGAATTTGGGCCCCGGAGGGGGCAGTATTCATAGTGGGGAGAGCGTGATGGGCTAGCTGCTGGCCTCAGAGTGGCCTAGAAGAGACAAACTAGGAAGGGATGGAAGTCCCAAATTATCCCTTCCAGGGACACCCTTGATGACCCAAATTCGTTATACTAGGTTCCACCTATTAAAGGTTCCACTGCCTTCCCTCGTACCACAGGCTAAGGACCAACCTTCACCACAGAGGCTTTGGAGACCCTCAGGATCCAAACAGCACTGTTGCTTAACAAATGTGAGTCAGCTGTGGAGGTCTGAAACCACTCAGGGTGCTCATTAAGTGAGTTAGAGCCAGGCCTGGAAGCTTTCACCTAACATCATGGCTTCTCATGAGGCTCAGGCAGGAGGATTAAAAGTTCAAGGCCAACCTGGGCTACAGTGAGTCCCAGGTCAACCTACACAAGCTGGTGAGATCTTGCCTAATGATAAAGGGTGAGGAGGAAAGGGACTAGCAAAAGCCAGTGTATGGGTAGGAATATAACCAGCTTGAGACCCTACAGTCAACCAAGCACTGGAACAATCAAAATTAAAATCCTAAAGTAATTTATTCAGAAAATCTGTAAATGGTCGGAAATTAAACTACTTTTTTTTTATAATCCATTTACCAGAGAAGAAAACATGAATGAAATCAGAAAGCACTCCAGACAACATGACTGCAAAGAGACCAATACAACAAAATTTGTGGGATGCAGAAATTTGTGGGATGCAGTTTAAATAGTATTTATAATGGTTCTCAACCTGTGTGTCATGACCTATTTGGGGGTCAAATATCAGATATCCTGCATGTCAGTTATTTACATTACATTTCATAACCATAGCAAAATTACAGTTATGAAGTAGCAATGAAATAATTTTATGTTTTGGGGTCACCAAAACCTGAGGAACTGTATTAAAAGGTCACAGCACTAGGGAGGGTGAGAACCACTGACTTAGAAGGAAATGTCTAGCTTTTTAAATGTTTCTACTAGGGGCAAAGGTAAAAACACAAACACCTAAACCCAAGAGCAAAAGCTTCCAACTTACAAAACTAGAGAAATCAGAACACATAAAACTCAAGCCAAAGAAAGGCAGTGATACAGATGGGGGCAGGTCAACCAGAAAGAAATCAAACGATGGAGGAAACCATCAGAGCCCAGTTTTGAGTTTAGTAGTGCCCATTAACTGTGTAAAAACAACTGATTTCACTGTGACAGTTTCACAGAGAAAACTGTTCACTTAAATCTTATTTACCCCAATTACCCATTTTGGTGTCCCCTTGACCTTCCCAAACCACTCCCTTTTCCTTCTACATCTTTATAAAGAACTAGATCCTGCAGATGTAAGAAAATATTTATGCCCTTCTGATTCTGGCTTATTGCACTTAGCACGATGATCTCTGGTTCCTTCCAGTTTCACTCATGGGGAGTGCTTTCTTCTTATTTGTGCATGGGTATGGCCCCATTGTGCAGGTGCATGCTCAGGAGTGTGTGGGGGGGTGTATGGCAGTTTTACTTGTAGTGTTTGGAGGACGCTCCCTACTGATGGCTATGGTGTTTGGAGGAGGACGCTCCCTACTGATGGCTACGGTGGCAACACTGCTTTACATTCCCACCAATGGCCTCTTTCCTTCTTCACCAGCACCATTTTTTCCCCTTGACAACAGCTATTTTGACTGGAGTGAAAGAATCTGAACATAATTTTAATTTGCATTTCTCTGATGACTAAGAATGGTGATGGTTTTCTTGGTAATTTTTATTTGTTTTGTTTTTCTTTTTTGGCCTTGAATTCATTGAACATTTTGTCTTTCTTCTTTGAGAAGTATCTGTTCAGCTCATTTGACCATTTATTGATTGGATTATTTGTTCTCTTAGTTTTTGTAGCTATTTATAGATTCTGAATATTAATTTCCTGACAGATGAATAGCTGGCAAAAATTTCCTTTCACTCTACTGCTTCCTTGGCTGGGAGAATTCCACTTTTAATTCCACTCAATCCCATTTGTCAATTTGTATTACTCTTCCTGAGCTTCTGAAGCCCTGTTCAGAAGGTCCTTGCCTGTGTCTATATCATTAAGGGTCCCTTTTCCAGGTTTCCGGTCTTGCACGTTAAGATCTTTGAACATTTTAAGTTGCATTTCCTACAGGGTGAGAGATAGGGATCTAGTTACATTCATCTCCATGTGATTATCCAGATTTCCCAGCACTATTTACTGAAAAACCTATCTTTTCTCCAACATATACCTTTCTTCACTTCATTGAGCTTCATGGGTTTCTGGGTTCTCTGTTCTATTCCTTTGGGCTCCGTGTTGGCTTTTATACTGGCGCCATGCTGTTTTGTCACCGTTCCTCTGTGGTGTAACTTGAGATCAGGCATGTGATCTCTTCATCATGGCCCTTTTCATTCACGATTACTTTGCATTCTAATCTTTTGTGCTGCCACAAGGACTTCAGGTTTAGTTTTTCTGGTTCTTTGAAGGTCATTGGGATTGTAATGGGGCTTGTATTAAATTTGTGGTCATTTTCACAGTAGTTATCCCATGAGAATATTTCCGTTTCCTGGTTTTTCCTGGGTTTCTTCCCAGTGCTTTAGTTCTCATTGCAGATGCCTTTTACTTCATTTCTGGTGTCAGATTCATTCCTACATATTTAATTTTTTAAGTCTATTGTGAATTTTTCTGCATTTCGTATTTATTATTGGTGTCTAGAAAAGCCACAGATTTTTCGAACGTTGATTTTATTCTCTGAAAGTGTTGGTCGGAGATAAGTTTTTCGGAGTCTGTAGTGTCTTTCAGTAACAGGATTGTGGCTTCTGCAAATGGGAGTCAGCTGAATTCTTCCTTTCTCTGCCCCCTCTTATTTTCTCTTTCTTCTTATCGCCTTAGTTAAGAACTTAAGTATCATTCTGATACTTGTCTTATTCTCCAGTCTTAGAGGAAAAGTTTTCAGTCTCCCCATTCAACATAATGTTTGCTATATGTGGCTCAAAAGGGGAGGGATGGTGGGAGGAAGAGAGAGGGCCGGGGAGAGAGAGAGAGAGAGAGAGAGAGAGAGAGAGAGAGAGAGAGAGAGAGAGAGAAATCTCTATATATATGAAAAGAGACAGAGAGAGAGACAGAGAGAGAGACAGAGAGAGACAGAGACAGAGACAGAGACAGAGAGAGACAGAGAGAGAGACAGAGAGAGCACCCTGAAAAGGTGATCTATCAGGAGTCATGCATTACTTAGAATTAAAACCACAGTGTTGTGGATCCCTGGGAACTAAAATTGCTACAAGTAAAACCACAAAAGACACTAAGTTTCTAAGATGTGAAAGGTGGTGACAGAGTTGATGTAAGCTTAGGGAGGCCAACGGCTTAATGATCCCTTCTTGGATATCTTGTGCTGTGCTGTTCTGCTCTTTCCTTTTGGTTTTAGGCAAACTGGATCAAGTTTGGACAAAGCCTTCTTTTCTTATAACTCTCAGCTGTCTTTTAAGGAGACCTTTAGGGCTGACTTAGTTTGGAATGGGTCATGTGACCTGCATGTACTACATTGGGATGATTCAGCTGCCTGTGGTCCAGATGTGCTCCAGTGACCCAAATGCTCTCCCAGATACCCTGAGTCCCCTGACTTCAGTTTTCTTTTCCTTCCCCTGCAGGAAATGCTGAAGGATGAGGTGAGGACACTCACGTACCGGAACTCCATGTACCATAATAAGCATGTGTTCAAAGACAAAGTGGTACTGGATGTTGGGAGTGGCACAGGGATCCTCTCCATGTTTGCTGCCAAAGCAGGGGCCAAGAAGGTGTTTGGGGTAAGCATGTCACCCTCCCTGTGTTGGCTTCTGCAGAGTGGTCTTTGCCTCTGGCTTTCTCTGGGCCTCCCTACGAAGGCCCACCTTGGTTCACCATCTCTTTTTCTATTTTTGTACTGTGCTGGGGCTGGAACCCAGAGCCTTGAGTATGTTAGACAACTGCTGTACAGAAAAGCCACCTTCCCAGCCCCGGTCCATCTCTCTTGCTAGAGGAACAGAGACAATCAGTCACCGTATATTCCTAGCATCATCACTACTGTCACAATCATCACCAACATCAACATAGTCATCTTTGTACCACCATCCCTATCATTGTAAGGACTCAGGCATTGTGCTGGCCTGCCCCTGTCGCCTGGAAGAGTGCCCTCAGGCAGTACCCTGGGCAGCCCAGGATTGTGCAAAGGACCCCTTTACAATAAAGACCCCTGCCCACTTAACGATCTTTTTCCCACTGCTCCCCTGGGGCAGACGGGACTTTTCCTGTCTCCCCCTTCTCTTCTGTCCTCTTTCTGTCTCTGTGTCTCTTTACCTCTTTTCTCTTTCCTTACACCTTTGCCTTTTTAATAAAACACACTGAAGTTCTATCTGCCTGGCATGTTTGTCCCCTGCTTTGATCACCCTTGCCTGCCTGGAATCCACGAGGGTTCCCTTTTGCTTTATCCTAACAATCACCACCACCACCATCATCACCATCATCACCATCACCACCATCACCATCACCATCACCATCATCACCATCACCACCATCACCATCACCACCATCACCATCATCATCACCATCACCATCATCACCATCATCTCCACCATCACCATCATCACCATCATCACCACCATCACCATCACCATCAGCACTATCATCACCATCATCACCATCATCACCATCACCACCATCACCATCATCTCCACCGTCACTATCAAGAGCAGCACCATCACCATCACTGCTATGACCCCTCCTTGTTTCAGGCTTCTTTCTATCAAACCTCATCAGCATGGAACCCTGATGCCGTGGATCTCAGTGGCCTTGTGGCCATCTGGTGATCCTACACTGTCCCTTTGAGGACAGAGGCCCAGGTTAGTGCCAGCCATGGTCAGGCTGAGCAGGAAACAGCAGTGCACTGTCTCTGACTCCTGAGTCACCGGGAGATACAGCTAAGCTGCTGCCAGGGATACTGCTTGGCGCCTCTCCGTGGTAACTTGGCATAGTCTGCCTATCATAAGTGGCTCTATTCCTGCCAGGTTTAGCCAGCTTCCTTCCCATTAGCTCCTTAACCACAGCGTCCATTGTCCCCCTCCCCAACCTCCCTCCCTCCCCAGTGGAGTGGACAGGGGTCAAAGGGGAAGCCTGAAACAGGAGCAACTGTTAGAGAATGTGCCCACTTCACCTGGCAGCACTTAGTGACGGGATGTAGAGGGACACTCCTGGTAACTCTGGCCTAGCTCTGCCTTCCACCCCTCCTCAAGAGCTTAGTCTGTTCTGCCCTCCTCCGTTCCCCTCCTGCAGGATGGTGAGATCAGTCAGCTACTCTTTCAGCTCCAGCACAGACACACAAAGTGGTCGATTTAGTAAAATGACGCTAGCCACCCAATGAGAGGGCCAGATCTTAGCTTTCTAACTACCACAAATTTATTGTGTGGCCGTGGCTAAGACTATGCACCTCTCTGAAGCTCAATTTTCCATCTATCCAATTGGTTCTGGGTGTTGTGCCGGATTGCCATTATGTGACAAAATGCCTGAGGTAACCAACTCCAAACGTAGAGCAGTTTATTTTGACTGATATTCAGGGGTCTTGGCGCATGTCTGTTGGTCGTGTTGCTCCAGGCCTGCAGTGTAACAGCTACTCATGGTGGGTGCTTTGGGGAAAGCAAAGCCGCTTCCCTCATGTGTCCCTCTCAGAGACTTGTCTCCAAAGACCGAACTCCATCTAACTTGGCCCCTTTGCATTGTGCCATGTGCTGGGACTTTCCCCAGCCTTCAGTACATGGGCCTTTGGGGGCTTTGAAGGTCCAGAATTTAGCAGTCAGCTGTGCTTTGTAAACCTCTGTCTCTTTTGTTTTGTGTGCTTTCTAGATCGAATGTTCCAGTATTTCTGACTACTCGGAGAAGATCATTAAGGCTAACCACCTGGACAATGGTAAGGCCCACCTCCCAGTCTTTCCAAATGGTGAGATAGGGACTTGCATTTTCTGGTTCTGATAGCATAGGTGGGCACAGGAGGGGAGAGCACAGGACATGTGGTTTGGGGGAGGTACGGCTTATGCTGAAACAACCACTCACGGAACTGTGGCCTGTAGTGTCTCCTTCCCCTATCTTGCTAGTCAGATGACATCTGCCCCACCCTAGCCATCAGCCAGCCCTGTCATCATGCGTGCCCTCTGCAGGGCCCAGTATAGGCTGTCAAGTCTGTAAGGTGGCAACTGGTGTTCTTCTTCTCTGAATTCTCCACACTCCTCTCCATTCCTTTCTGTCACCTGTCCAAGTGTATTGGCCAGAAGGTCTGTCACAAGCCCTGGTACTGATGGAGCGTGTGTCCATCAGGCTGTTCTGGAGAGTGAGGCATTGCTCAGGCTGGACTCTGATCACAAGGGGAGATGTGTTCCGTTACATTCCCAGCCTCCCTCTCCCAGTGTCCCGTCTTCAGTATGCTCAGACCTGCAAGGGTCCCTGACCACGCCACCTCCTCATAATTTTTCTCCATCAGCAGGACTGACTACAGCTGCCAGGCCCCATGCTCAGTGTTGGGGTGCTGAGCACTTGGCATTCTGGGAGCACACCTGGTCCTGAAGGGGGTGGAGTTGGGAGAATGGCAGGTGGGGAATGGGTTGGAACAGAGGCAGGACTGGCACGGGCAGTGAGGCTAAAGTAGCTGAGTGCAGCGGCTGTGGCAAGGTCAAGTCCAAAAGGCAAGGTTCCCTCGTGCAGTTCTAAAGGGTGGGACGTAAGAGCCTGGAGGGATGGGCATCCCTGAGAGAAGTAGGTTGGGTTCACCGGCAGGGTGGAGCAGGAGGCTGGGACCCTGGGCGATGAAGCGCTGGCTAGCCCAGCCTTCCTATCTGTAAGACCAAGAATAGAGCGCTGGATGCACTTCAAGCTGTACCCCAGAATCCTTCAGCTTCTCCATAGGGAGCCAGATGTCCCCATGGGTCTGACCTGAGAGATCACACACCATAGGGCCCTCCCACTACACACTACTACAAAGTAGGTCTTCGACCTACTTGGGTGTGACCTCAGCCTGCCACCTGTGCTGCTGGCTGCTTGACCCACTTGCTGCAGACTCCATGAAAGACAGGAGCATAAATCGTTCCATAAACTTCTGTGTGTGCCACCATGAGCCTGGCTCTGGGTACAGAGCAGGCAATATGACAATTGATGTCCTGACCTAACTGAGTCTATTTCCTGTGGGGAGCAGAATTACAGAGCTAAAGAAAGCAGTGATCAGTCAGAGATGAGCACCTGGTGACAATGCTCCTCTGGTCATTTGGGGGGTAGGGTATCTGGGGACCTTCCACTCACATTGGGTTAAGACTCCCTCTCGGGCAGCACATTCAAGTTCAAGTTTGAAAATCATGATGGAAGCAGGCTGACCAAGTGTCTGTTTTCCGTGGCTACAGTAGAATATCTGAGATTGGAACATTTATAAAGGAAAGATGTTTAATTTGGCTCACCATTCTGAATGCCTGGAAGCCCCAGACTGGCTGGGTGTGTCTGGAAAGAACCTTGTACTGCCTCTACGCACAGTGGAAAAGGGGGAGGGTAAGGAGGCCCAAAATGTGTTCTCAACATGACTGATCCTTCCCCTGGGGAGTAACACTAATCCATTTGCAGGTACTCTGTTCCCTTCACCCAGCATTCTTCTGGGTCCTGTCTTCCAACACTGCCACACTCAGGAATTAAAGATCCTGCATACTAACCTTTGAGGTCACACTCAACCAAAGTACCTAAAGTTCCAAGGAGGAGAACTTTGGGCAGGATTTAACTGGGCATGCTCAGGGCACAAAAAGGCCCTTGACCACAGCACAGACAGGGGAGGGCTGAGAGAGGGAGGCCAGAGTGATCACAGTCCACTCTCGGACAAGGTTGGATGGATTTCTTTCTTTGGGCCAGGAGATGGTTTGGAGGGTTTTAAGCAGGGGAGGAGCCTTGCTGATGTTGGGCACATTGGGATGGGTTGCAGACACAAATAGCACGAGCACACATTCCAGAGGCTCCCGAGAGTGGTGTGTGAAAGGTGGCCACAGAGGTGGAGAGAAATGAGCTGTGACGTAACCTCAGAAGCAGACCTAGAGGACCTGATGGTGCCGGGCTGGAGAGCAAGCGTCAGGAGCAACCGACTGAAGGCAGCTGTCTGCAGGCAGAGGGCTCACAGGGGTGGCAGGAGAAACCAAGAGCTGCCTTTTGCCTGTGAAGGACTAGGGGTGCCCCACTTTGGGTACCCAAGTGGGTCTGTTGAGGCAGACTTGGATTTATGTGTTTAGGGGTTTAGGGCTTCAGGAGGAGTCACCAGAGACTTCAATTCGGACTCACCAACACGGCAATGTCACTCAGCTACTTAGAAGTAAAGAAGCAAGACAAAGACAGGGAGGGCTGAAGGGCCACTCATCATTTGGGCATTATGCAGGGAAGGAGGGGCCAGCAAAGAAGTGGAGAAGATGGTACCTGGGAGGTTGGTGACTATTCAAGAGCAGCCCAGGGCATGCTGAGGTGAGACAGGACAACGGCGGAGTAGCAGCAGTGGAATTTGGCCACATGGTAGGCATCGGTGTTACCATTGAGCACTCGGTATAGCAGGGGCCAGAGTCCAGTTAGAGTAGGAGTAGGGGAGGCTTTTCTTTCAGCAATGGGGCATGGAAAGATGGAGCAGTAGTTATGGAGGCCATAGGGGTCAAGGAAGGGAAAGCTGGGGAAATGTGTGTTATTCAACAGAAACGCAGGAAGAGGTATGTGAGACAAGGACCTTGAAGGGCTAGCTGCAAGGGGGTGACCTTCATCATGGAGTAGGGACAGTCTAGACATAGTAATGGGGGCATCTAGATGGAAGTGGTTGTTGGCCTGAGGCCTCTAGTTGGTTGTTTCGGTTTGCTTCTCTGCCTGAGACGTGAATGCAGTCTCAGGCAGAGAAGCTGGATGGGGGGGGGGGCAGAGAAGAAAGGCTGGGTGATCTTTGTGGGGCTTGCTAGGGCAGTGAGGATTGCTGGGAAATGTGTCTCTCTTTTAGAGAGCTGTGGACCCTGCTGTGCCGAGAGCCCAGCTCTCACTGTTGTGTGGCTTTTCTCTTTCTGTACTCACTGGGGCTTGTACGTGTGTGGAGCTGGAGGCTGCCTGGCTTTGATGACAAGACAAGGTGGGGTGGGGGGAGACCCAGAAAACAATGATACCAAATTGATGACACAATCTGTCTTTGTCCTGTAATGAAGCACGGGAGATCAACTGTCATGTAGCTCAGTTTTAGAGGTTAAACTTAAGAACGAGGGAGCAGAGGGGAAGGATGCGTGGGGCCAGGCTTGCTCCTTTCATGACACCCATTGTGCAAGAACTCAGGGCTCCAAGAGAAGTAGCTCATGCTTCTAATGACCTAAGATGTCCTGTTTGGCTCTCCTTAAAGGGCCTACCATCTTACATTAATGCCTCCCTGGAGACCAAGTCTCTAACATGTGGGTATTTGGGGGGACATTGGCCACTTCCAAACTGTATCAGAATCTAGCTGAGTAAAGGAGGCAGAGCGAAGAGAGGGGAAGGTGTTGGCAACAGGGGCAAGGCTGGGGCACTGTACGGGCAGTAGCTATCATAGACACAAGCAATGCATTCAGACTGAGCAGGGCAAATGTTGCTCAGATATCCTGACCTCTGACCTCTGGCTTGGTCTCTAGCATCTCCTAGCTTCCTCAGCAGGCATGGGGACAGGTGTTTTCATAAAAGTGCTTGGCCGGGACAGAGGGAGGACAGGTGTCTTTTCCACCTTCTGAATATGGCGAAGGGAAACCAGGCCACCCTCTCTATATAGGGACGACACAGCCTAACACTTCCAGACTTCCCCCATCCCTTCTCCATCCCACTGAAACAGGCAAGTGATTCTTCCCAGTTAAGAGAGGTGTTAACTAAGGCAAGGAGAGGTGGGGGCTGAGGGGAGCCAGAACCCTGGCCTGAGCTCTTGTGCCTGTACTCTGTGTGTGTGTGAGTGGACGCAGAGTTCCACAAGCACCCGTAGTCCTGCAAGTAGGAACAGGAGTGAGTATAGACAGATGTGAAGTGAGATTCACTGTTAGAGACACTGGGTTCCATTCCTCAGCCCCAGGGGCCTTCCAGTGGTGCATAGGCCATCCCTCGGTAGGCTTCCTTGGTGGTGACTGCCAACCTCTGGATCTGCCTTTCCCCCTGTACTTTCCCCTTTCTTTTGCTGCTGGTCGAATTAATTTCTCTTCTTGTTACTGTCATAACATATTTAGAGCAAGTTAGTTCTAGGGGAGGTACTTTGAAATCCTGTAAGCATGCCATTCGCTTTTTGTTGTATCTATGTATCTATGTATGTATCTACATATGTATCTATATATGTATGTATGTATGTATGTATGATCTATCTATCTATCAATCTATTATCTATCTATCTATCTATCTATCTATCTATCTATCTATCTATCTACCTAACTACCCACCTACCCGTCCATCTATTTTATCTATCTGTGCATCATATCTGGCTACCATGTGTCTATCATCTATATACGTCCATATATACCATGTATCTTTCATCTACCATCTATGTCTATCTTCTATTATTTCTGTACAGATTTTCTACTCTGTCTACGGCTATCATCTGTCTGTCTGTCTGTCCCTCGTCTCTCATCTTGTTATCATTTCTAATTATTCGTCCTTTTACTTATTAGTTTTAACACTTTTACTGTGCACCCATCCTGTACTTAGTGGGTTCTCCCTGGCGTTCACTGCGTGCTTTGATACTCCAGTCACTCCTGCTTGGGTCTCTGAGAGCACCTTCAATCTGGCTCCTGTGTACTCCCCCCCACTTTTCTAGACTTCCGACTTCCCAGCTCCAGCCATTTCAGGCTCATCTTGCATTTCATCCGCGTCTATTTTCAGTCAGCTCTTTCCTCAGCATCCTTGACTGGATGCTAGTAACTAGAA